AGCCAACATCAGCTGTGCTCATGTGGCTGTCCATATCAAAAACTGGAATACCTTTCCAATACAAGGCATTCATAAGTTTGGTGTCCATGGCACCTACAACAACAGTCTCACTTTAGTTTCCATTTATAAACAAAACTGTCAAAAGGATGGTAAGTCCAAAAGCTACAAGGCTGAAAAAAAAAAAAAAAACTCACCAACTAGAAGATTAGAAATGCCAAGATCAGTCGAATGCTTAACCCAAGTGAGGATAAAATCCATAAAAGCAAAGTTACCAAAGGTGACTATGATGACATTATCTTTGATCCTTTGCTCAACCAGTTCTTTAGTTAGTCTAAAACTCTTTAGAGGTGGGGTTTTAGAATTCTGAGGAGGAACTTCCCAAATAGGCCTCAACCTATACCCTGAAGCAGGTGCTGACCTTGTACCCGTCATTGCTGTTTGTTGAGAAGTATTGACTGCATGATTCACGTAATGAGAATCAACATTAAGACTATTGCCACAGCTTGTATGGACAAGAAAGAAGTAAAGAGCTTCTAAAACAGCATAAAATATGCAAATTTAAACTCAGTTTTTGCTGTCGATTCAAAGTTTTCATCTTTACACCGACCCAGAAACGAGTTTGATCTCAGCTTATCTTGTAATCCCATTTACAAAAATCAGGGGAGAAAAAAAAAAAAAACTTGTATCGACAAAAACAAAGGACCTACTTTGGGAAAGCCAGGAAGCAGAGTGAGCGGTGGAAGCGAAGGGATAGTAAATCGCAGAGAATACGTAAACTATTCCCAGTATCATCGTCCCATATAAGGTGAGGAGGAGCGGCTTCGAGCTCACCGCTTCTTAAACGGCATTCAATCCCCGCATTTTTCAATCGGAACTCCCGTTTCGATCAGAATTTCTTCAATTATCGGAAAAGCCATCACTGTTACTACTATTACATTACATTTCTCGGTTTCCAACCGGAATCTGTTACTACTATTACATTACATTTCTCAGTTTCCGACCGGAATCTATTACTATTACATTACGTTACTCGTTCGTTAGCGTCTTCTCAGATCAATCGCCGTCGGAGCTTCCCCGCCCAGCAGCCGTTAATCTTCTAACAAAATCGCAATTAAAGGCTCGTTAATTGGGATTTTAATCTCTCTTTGTAATTAATTTAATTGGGCTTCAACATATCGGGCTTAAAAACACGGACCAAGATCAAAGGCTCATTGGGCTATATCCATGTGTTGATTCAAAACGGGCTTGGCCTCGTCAAAGAGTCATACTGTGAACCTGTGATATGCATTTTGATGTTAAGCTGATAACTGGGCTGAAGTTGACTCAGGGATTAGACAGAGAATGATGATGTTGAGGTTTGGGCCCAGAACCGAACGGTGATGAATAATTTTCACCACCCGTCTTAAAATTTTAATTTAAAATTTCAAATTCTTACCCGTTAAATTAGTTGCGACACCCAATATAGGAGGAGAATGCAACATTGATTAACAACTCAGAAGGGATATGCTTGGTAGGAGACATAGACAAGACTTTGAGTTGCATGGAACCCTCCATTCTCCCCCATTAATTATTTGCCAATATAGAAATATAGCCCTCAAGTCTGTATGTTGTAGGTGATTGAAGGATCAAATTAAATTACAATTTTTCTCACTTGACTTTTGAAAAAAATATAAATTCTCAAAATCTTAAAACAACCTACAAGTCTAAGCAAAGTTGTCCTCATTTGAGACTATCTAGCTATTTGAAACCGTGAGCCCATCTTCATATTTTTTGCCATGCTTTCATAACACTCCATCACACCTTATTTGTAGGTAGCTAGAATTTATTGAGATGAATATGCATAAAATTCCAATTTGAAATACGTTCCATAACTTTTTTTTTTTAAGTCATCCTTTGACATCCTAGAATAAAGTTCCACACGTTTCTGCATAACCTACATTTCATTAATTATTTGTTATTTATTTCAATAATGTTTGTCAGCTCTAAGCTCTGATACAGTTCTTGACATTCACTTATATAATTTTTAAAAAATATTATTAAATTGAAACTTGAATTCCTAATTTAATTAATAATACGAATATTAATTAAAAAATAAAAAATATATAATTAGCGAAATTTAATTGATTAATATTCCTCCAATAACAGCTTCAGCGTGCCATCCATGGGCAGCATAGATGTGATTTATAATGATAGGAAATTAAAAATTAATTCAATAAACTATAACTTTGGAACATTAAATTTTGACTTCGATTCGTGGACATGCTTAATTAATTGCGTTTTTTTAATTATATTTTTGTAACTCCAAATTAGCAAGTACTTAAACTGCTTTGTCTTTAAAGAGGATATCAAATAAATTTTTTAATTGTAATTATTTTTTTATTAATGGAGTGCAAGGAGTACTGACAATTCTTGAACAGATGTTAAGAGTACTTTATTTAAAACGACTGAAATTTTCTTTATTTTTTTTCTTTATTTATCGCCACCCTACATTTCCTTTTTTTAATTTTTTAATTTAAAGTCTTTCTTCTTTAACCTAATTAATTTCGTCATTTTATGGATGCTGACCCCATATACGTGTCAATTTATTTAAATGTCAACCTTTCCTGTATATTCATTGTATAAGTTAATCACATTAATATCATAATAATAGTATGTCAAAGGTCTTAAATAAAGGAATTATTTTGCCAGCATGAACAATTAAGACGTCATAGTCGTAGTATATGTGTGTATATGTATGGTACTTTTAATATTAATTACTCTTATGGATTGTCAAACTAGCTAGCAAATCCAACTGGCCTTGTCTGCCTTTGACTTGCCTCTAGGGGATTAATTTACCACTAACCCCTTTATTAATGGGATTAATAAAGTACAAAATTCTAATTCGATGCTCCCTCCCACCGTATATATATATTCATGGCAAAAATCATTTTTAAACCTCCAAACTTATCTCAAAATAGCATTTACGCCCTTAAACTAAAAACAAAATAGATAAATCCTCTAACTCCACCAACGATATAAATAAACCTTTCTCACAAAAGGGCCAAACAATACTTCATGTTTAATATCACATTGAAAGCATGAATACCCATGAATAAGAAGGACTTATTTGCATCATTTATGGAGTTGATGGACTTATTTGCTTTATTTTTAGTTTATGGGCTTAAATGCTATTTTGGGGTAAGTTTGGAGCTTAAGAAAGGTTTTTGCCTATATTCATTGATGATGCTTTACAATAATGTACATAATATACGTATGTGCATGCGTACTGTGTACGTACGTCGTATCAAGAGCAAGCACGTGTCTACACTCAAAATATAACTATAAGTCAAAGCATATAATACATGTCTATAAACTATTGGCACAGCTTCCTTAATGATCAACAGCTTCCTTAATGATCAATTTGTCCCCCTAATCAAAAGTAATAGTTAAATAACAACTTTATAACCCAAATCTTATCTGTAAAAGTCAGGGAATGACTTGTAAAGAAAGCGATTACATTAGTTAATTAATTATAAAATAGTAAAGGAGATATCATCTTGTTTTTAATTCTCAAGAAAAGGCCAAGCCTTAATTAGTCTGTATAGGGTCAAAATTAACATCACAGAGTGGCATCCAACCCAGAAGTAGCAAATTGAAAGACCCAAAAGTGGTATAATATATGTATGAAATGTGGCCATGTGGGGTAGGAGAGAATTAATTTGTTTTTGTTTTGGTTTTTGGTCTAACACCTATCCCCAGATTGTCTCATTCATTTTTTTCTGTATAACAAACCTTTGTGAAGACAGAAAGAAAGTAATTTTGATATAATAATATACCATTTCAAAAGTTAGAGGCACAAACAAATAATGTAGGAACTAGCTAGAAAGGGTATATTTTAAGTGGGGGACTACACACACAAAACTTGAAACTTATCTTCATTCCAAATAGCTAGCATGCATGAGCTTGACAATTAATAATATCCAAACAGTTTCAGCAT